GGGGGGGGGGGGGGCCGATAGATCTTAAGCTAAAAAAATTTTATTAAAAAAAAAAAGTTAAAAACAGTAAACTCTTTTATAATAGTTACTAAATATGTAATATCACTGTAGCACTTTCAATCATATAATTTTTTCAATTAGGGCCGTTATATTATATACCTACAATAATTTTAAAAGACAAAAACAAAAAAGTTATACATTTATACCAGATTGTATTTTTCATGTAATTAGTTATTAATTATTATTATATTGATTTCGTTACTCAAGGTATCCTGTTCATTTTATATTCATATTCAAATTTATATTCTATTTAATGTTAAGTTAAGTTTGAATTATTTTTATAATTTTTCTGGGCCGAATGTAAGGTTCAAAATCTTCATCATACAATGCGATAAGATTAGTTAAGTTAGTTCCGAACACCGACGGGAGGAACATCTGGCTCCGTTAATAAATTAATATTACACAAGTTTTATATTTATTTATTTACAATAATTGGAAATTAATTATTTCATTTAATGGAATACAATATATACCGTTTTGCGTTATGTTTTGTTTAATGATATATCATATATTTTGTTAAACGTTACGTTTTGTTTTGTGTTATTTATTTATTTATGTTTATCGTTTTCCGTTATAATTACGTTTACAAATTTCAATCGTTTTTTATCAAATATAACGTTATTATAACGTTTGCAAGCCCTGGTACCAGGTGATCCAATTAAGTGTGAGTACTTATTATTTCGAAAAGTATTAACTTCTTTGAAAATATTATTAGTTCATAATTTGATGCAGTTTCATAACAACATTTATGAAGAAAAATTTTTTTATCCTTAAAATTGTTAAGTATTTTTTTACTTTTTTAAATAACACCATGTATTTTTTACATCATATTCTGAATTATATACTATATATTATATATTATTTACAGTATTTGGATCTATAAAGATCAATAATTTTCGGACAAGTTATTCATGCCGCAGACATGGCTTTTAAATATTTCTAGGGCTGTATTCTGTTTCAATAGTGTGTTTAGTAAAGTGTTAATTTCATACTTTTTATAGCAATAGGGGGCGATGTTAGATTTGCAAGGGAGAGTTCTGCCTGGGGAGCATTTATTTTCATTTACATTGATCAGTTCAGTAGTTTCGTTTTTTGTATAGTTGTGCTTACTCCCACAGTCCCACTACGTCTAGCTAGTCTTGCTAGATATTTTATAAATAATTTTATTCTTCTCAGGGGAGGGGGAGAGAACGTTCACCGGCTATGTAGTAAAATCTAAGTGTTCAAACGCTTCAGGAGACTCCAATTGCTAGTCTTAGTCCGCAATGTAATGTTTATAGTGGTAATATCGATTTATTATTACTGGTATTTTTACAATTATTTTAACAAAATATATTATAATTTTAAGTTTCACGATTTAAAACTGCATTCAATAAAAAATATTTAGACCCATATTATATTCTTATTGTATAGAAAATAACATAAAAACCTTGAGATGTCAAATAATATATTTGTTACTTTACCTAACCCAAAGATAATTTTTAAACACAAATCCTTTTCACTTTTTTCAGGTTCTAATAAAATAAACATGCTTTTGATATTTTCTTGTTTATTTTTCTGGTTTTATGTGGCTGACCTATTCATAGTTTATGAATACTAACAATTTACAAAAATGAAATATTTTAATAATCTGAATTTTTCGAAACAGGTCTACTAAACATCTAACCATAATCATAAGACAATTAGGAACAAATTAGTGAAGTAGTTACTATTATAGTGAATCTGTTAACTGATTTTTTACTTATAATACATAAATAAATCTTAACATTTAGCTTTTATAGTATCTAGAATTAGGTATCAATATTTATTTGTGTTGTTATTTTTGCAATCTGATTTTATTATATTTTTATTCGATTGCTTGACAATTGATCGATTATTTCAAATTAAAAATATAAATAGTTTCTTTGAATAGCATTTGAGCTTTAATTAAGTTGAGTACCTACTTGAAAAATATGTTATTCATTTATTTTAATATTATATCAACAATTACTAAATTTAATTCATTTTTTAAAACTAAAGATATGTAATGATTATTTAGATTTAAATTCTAAAATTATCCTAAAACCATAATAACAATAATCTATTTTCAACAATAGATCTTGTTCACTTAAAATTGTTTTATTTATTGTCTTATTTTAGATTTTGACTATATCGATGAATTAAATTGAATTTACAGCAATGCTTGTTTTTTTTGCCGTAATCAAGTTTAAAAATTACAAAATGATTTTCAAACGAATCTAGAAAATCAAACAAACAATTATGGAAAAACTGAGATTTTTACTCAAAATGAGTTTTCGAAACAATCAATTTCTTCTTTAATGTAACCCTTAAAAAGTAACCATAGATAGAAATTTTAAATTAATGTTTATATTATCATTTTCTATGCGCTATACAATTTTCATGAGAATTTAACACAATATGGATAACATATTATTATCTATTTATAGCCTTATAGGCATATGACATTTTTGATTATTATTAGTTTTTTTTAAATTAATGTCGATAATAAAATATTAACTCTTTCAAAAATCTTGAAAATCTTATACAAAGTTATTTGTAAGTTGTAGTTAGTGGAAATTAACAAAAATTGAGCTTTAGACTACGATAAAAATTTATGAGTGTTTAAATTTAGAATCTTAACAAAATTCTAAAAATCACGAAAATGTGCAAATGAATTGGAGTTAGAAATCATTAAAAATTTTTTTTTTATATCTTGGATTTGAAAATATAATGCAAGATTCCCCTAAATTTTTCCTGAATGTAACAAAAAAATAAAATTTCCCGGAAAGTCAAATTAATATTTTTCAACCGTTTGAAGTCAAACATAGGATATGTTATTATCATGGGATTTTAATAAAAAATTATGACCATAGGTAGGTACTTGAAATTATCATAAAATATTTATTTTATAATTTTCTTTACATGAAAAATTTTCAAAATATTTTGACTCGTATTGAGTTATTTATGGACATTTTAAATGAATTTTGTTTTCTTAATTCTGTATTCAATAAATGTCAACAACATTTTATTTGTTTTTTTAAATAAACTTAAAATTAATACAAGGTTCCTTATAAGTTGTAGTAATTGAAATAAATAAATAATAAAGATACATTTGCACAATTGCTTTTTATTTTTTTTTAAGTTAAAATTGTTATCAAATTCGTTTTAATTATAGAGATCTGCAAAATTTTTTTGATTTAAAAATTCATAAAAAGTTTTCTATTTAAATCTAAGATTTATGTTCAAATGTTATACGAGATTTTTCAAAAAAATGTCTACCTAAAGGTCAATTAAAATTATAAGTTCAAATTTATATAACATTAGATGTTTACTCAATTTTTCATATAGCGTTTTCCTTATTTAGTTGTTATTCATAAACAAATAACCGTAGGTACCTACTTGAAATTACAGCGACTCCTTATAATACATCTAATGTACAGTAGAAATAGTTACCCACTTACCCGATTTTTTTTGTCTTGTAATTTTTTTACAATTTTGTACAGTAAATTTATGAGATAAGATTAAAAAAAAGTTGTCGCAGTAAAATATAAACTTAAGATATTCCATATTTTTATAAATACACTGTGTCAAGCAGGTTCCATACATTATTTCATATGGATTTATTCACAAAATATCGACTTAACTACTAGTACTTCAACAATACAATAACATAACATGGAATAATGTATTAATACATATTTCAACTATCAAATATACCAGAACAGAAAATATAATATGAAACACAAAGTAATAATATTTTTTTAAATCTATTTTTTTGTTTTTTTTTGTAATTATCATTTACCTATTGATTAGTCATCTTATATCTCTTCCATGAAATCTGCTGTTGTGTTAGGTCAATTCAAAATTTAATTCACGGCTGGTATAATAAAACCCGAATGAATTATTAAGATCCCCTGCAAAAATGTTTTTCCTTAACAGGGGGGATATTTTATAACTAATATAGGTACATATAGGTACAAGCAATACATTTATTATACTATCTTATATGTATGAACAGGTTTCACTGAACGACCTACCTGCTACCGGCCTTGCATTAAGGTTGTATTAGGGACATCAATTTGGAAATTTTCTACTTTAGTCGTGGTTAGAGCATTGACGAGACGATTACCTCCATTGGACGTTACAAAGTAAGTAGTTATACATTATTATCATTTATTGTTTAGTTAACTAAGAGTTTTAAATCTCGATCTATAAATAGTTCAAATACATTTTTAAACATAGCTTAAAGTACCTAGTAATTTAGTTTTTTGTGACATGGCTTCTTATAAATAAATGGACCTCACCAAACAGAGCTTTGTCTTGATTTAATGATAATTTATTAAAATTTTTCTTTTGGTTTTTTTTTTTTTAGTTATGATCTTCTTCATTTAAATTTAATTTTTTCAATATTTATATTTTATTCTTAGAAAAATTATGTTACAAAATGCTTAGAGTACTATAATTTAAAAATAAATTTAGTACATATTTAATAACCTTATTAAAAACTGTTTTACAAATTACATATTTTAATTTATTACTAAAATCTTATTTATTGACATTTACATTTCATATATGTTCAAAATATACAGTTGAATTTTGAAAATTGTAAAACCTTAATGCATTTATTACAATACATAAAATAATTAAAATATTACTGGAATCTTTAATGAAATTAAAAAAAATAATTTTTCTGAAATAAGGTTAATGTGTTCTTATTATGTTAAGGATTAAAGAAGTACAATTTTTTAGTGTTGGTCGAGTACTCGACTTAGGAAATATTTTTTCGATGTACTTGACTATACTGAAATATTGTTTGTACTTGTAAATACGAGTACTTGCCTTGATCGAGTACTTGTATTAAATCGAGTATTGTTTTCATTATTTTTAAAATTTAAATTTTAGAATACTTTAAATAGTATTTTATTGAAAAATAAATGTAAAAACTTTTAATAACCAAATTCAAGTACAATTTAAAATACTGAAGCAATTCACAGTACTCAACCGTTTTTTCAAAACTTGTAATTTGTCGAGTACTCGAGTTCTTTTAATGCTCGACATTTGTCAAGTACTCGACTTTTTTTGAGTACCTACTTGACATTTTCTAGAATTTTGAACTCAACTTGATTCGACTTAAAATTAAAAAACAATCCTCGGCTAATACTACATTTTTTTTATATGTACTTAGATTGATTTATAGTATACCTATATATATTTCATAAATGAATATCAATGGTTAAACATTTTAGTTATTAAACTGTGACAATTTCAAACATTTTTTACGACAATGGTTGTATAACAATTATATAATAATAAAAAAAGGTTAAACAATACAAGGCTTATGATTTTAATTGCATAATCAATAAGAGTTTAAAAAAAACCTATACAATATTTGTTTATGATAGTTATTCAATTTCAATTGTGTACCAATTAAATCGGAAAAAAAATTCACTTTGACTTTGACAAAGTAATTTTACGTGACATGAAAACTGGTCTCGTATTAACTGACACGATTTCATTTTATTGAACGCAACTATGTGTTGAATACAAATTTGACGACGTATGATGAAACACTTACTATGTACTTACAAATTGAAAAGTCGTAAATCACTTTTAATTTGTTATAAAAAAATATATTCTATGCATTAAAACGATCAAAAGTGTATTATTCTTTGGGTTTTGTTTAGGAAAAACATTAAGAAGTTTTAATTCAATATTGGCACTAATATTTTCTAACAGATAGTGAAATAATGGCACTACATACACAATTACACCTGTAAAGATATTTTATTTCTACTGATTCCAGACAAAATTAATTAGTCAGACATATTATTTAATAAACTTCACGGAAGTAAAAAACATTAAATAATAATATGTGGTATGTATAATAAGTAATAATGTTTGGGATTCCAGAAAATATGTACTGTTGCAAGTTTGATTAAAATAATTCTAATAATTACATTGGTGAATAAACTAATATAATCTCAAATCTTAAGAACGGCCGTCTGTTATTTCCTAATCCATCGTGTTGACTTATTAGTCCCTAAAAATTCTGGTTTTCTTTTTACCTTGAAGAAGACGTTATTGTCGTTGTATCGTCAGCACAGTAGGTAATCGATTATTCCCAACAGCCTGTCTACCTTGTGTACAGGTATAGTAATAAAAAAAAACAACTTTTTCGAACATGTGCTTTATATAACTTGACAATTCATACTACCTACACTCACAGAGGTATAAAGATATATTAACTATTAATTTTTAATACACTCTTATCCATCCAAGGAAATTTGCGTGCGCACTTGTATCAGACTATCAGAATTACATTCCATAAACTAGAATTTCATAGCTGGCAATAATACGAGTCGTTCAAGTTTTTCCAGTACATGATCAAGGTCATTCAATTTTTAAATAGTCTAAACTTTTAAACACAGATATAATTCTATTGGGATATCGTGGGTTCAAGGTGGTTTAATTCGATCGTCTCCCCAGACGTTTTCCAGACATAATAACTATTAAATAATTGTAATAAAATAACATCTATTATGACAGCTTTAATAGTGGCCATATCATAATAATATATAATTAAGTCAGACGGGTAGTGTTTGTTTTACTAATACATACCTACATATAAATTGCACCGATAAGGCAATAATATACATATTTAAGTGGAAAATAATTTTGAAGAATATCAATACATCGAATCAAATAAATACTTTTAATCGTTATAATTATTACATTTGTATGAAAAAAATTATTTGCAAATTATTATGTTTTCCCTGTTCGGCTTTGAGTTATCAAGCAACTAAACTCAATAATACTGAAATTGTGAAATAACATTTGCTTGTTTAATTTTATAAGATTTATCAACAATTATAAACGACCGCATCACATACCTGTATGAATTAAATTTCTTTAATTCCAACATTGACATTTAAATGAAAATAGTCTTATGAATAATCAAATTTTACACATGTAAGGTATAATACAAAAAGACTTATTTGTAAAATGTGATTATTCATAAGACTATTTTCATTTAAATGTCAATGTTGGAATTAAAGAAATTTAATTCATACAGGTGTGTGATGCGGTCATTTATAATTTATAAGGTATTAATACTATAGAATTAAGGTGGGAATCAGGAGTTCGAGGGATTTGTTATATAATGATATTTTTAAAAACATATTGAAAAGCAAAGATTTTCGAAATTGTATGGATATAGTTATCATAATATAGTTTGAATAACTTGAGAAGGCACATCAGTAAAATATTTTTTTCCGTTTTATAGTTCAAACACGTATGGAATATAGTAAAAATTTCTCTTCGTATTTCATTCATCGTGATTACACAGTTAAAATGCATTAAAAATCATAATCTATTATTGTATTATACAATAATAAAAATAATATTTTATGTATTTTGTCATATTTTGTTCATTTTAATTACATATTTTTATTCTTAGGGAAACTTTTAGTGTTAGTTTTTTTTATAATATTATTAATACATTTTTTAAGTATGAATATATTAAAAAACGCTTTTGGTGAATCACAGATTATATAGCTTTTATTTATATTTATAACTTTATAATAGGTGTAATATCGTCATTGACAAAAACAAACGTCCTTTGTAAAAAAAAGTGTATTTTTCAGAAAACACAAATAACGTTTAAATAAAAAACGACGATATCATCATTTCAACTACCTATGTAATTATAATGAGTGAATTAATGTGAAAGGCTTTAAGTGACAACAACCTGTATGATATGTGTGTAAGACAGAGAAAAAAAATTGCTTGTGTTCCCATATGAGTATTAAAATGTAAAGTGTTTAACACAAAAGTACAATACTAGGTACAAATTTAAATACAATTAAAAAAAAAACCAACTAAAAAGTTATATGCTTATTCCTTATAATATACAATGGGTATGTTTATACATGATTTAATATAATTATAAATTAAAATTGAAGTATAGTTTATTGTAATTATGTACAAACTCAAAACTTTGCAAAATTTCCATCTCTGAAAAACGCATTCATTATTATTAAACTTTTAAATATGTTTAGGTACAACAATTTATTGAAATTTGAAATAATTTAAAAATAAAATATTCATGGTTATTTTTAATAACTCTGTTAATACAATGCAATTTTTTTTATTAGCACTAAGTTGTATTGAGTGTGAAGTTTTAATAGGTTAATAATGGTTAATTGTTGATTACCTAAGTGGATTCTAAATGAATTGAGAAAAACTAAAACTTAGTAAACTATGAATTTGAATGCAAATATTATTAATCCAAGCAATATAATTAAACAAACGTAGCTATTAAATAGATTTTCAAATGAGGATTAATTGACTGTAGAGAGAAACACGGACAACAGTACACTAACATATAACAAAAAAAAAAAAACACAAAACGTACAAAATAAATTTTTTTTCTGCACTGAACGATCAATATATATTTGATTTGATAATGTTTATTTTTTTATTTTATGTATTAAACACTTTTAACCTTTTATTGTAGTACCTATAAACCATACAATATTAAACTTCGAAAATTTTTCTGGAAGCAAATTAGGTCTATTTGGTATTCAGTAGCATCATTTTTCATCAAAATCGATTTTGTTATAACTAGAAAACGAGTGATCTTAGGGATTGGATACTTTAAATTTTCACTAAACATATTATTTTGTATAGTTTCTTTTTTAGACATGGTATATACTCAAAATATATCGGTTAATTTTGAGCTATTTATGAACATTTGGTATTAAGTGACTTTTAATTGACTTTTGTCCCATAAATGTTGAAACAAATTATTTTGCTCGGTCAAAAAGCTTGAAAAATAAACGCGAAGTTTCTCATGAGTTGTTCATACTAGAATTTGTAAACAAAGTTTAATGTAAGGCCATGTATTAATTTGCAATGCGAGAGTTTGAATTTCAAATTTTGACGAATTTATGCTCAAGTAAAATAATAATTATCCTTCTCAAACAATTGTTGTTATTTAATTGTAATTAAAAATTTCTGTAAAAACTTATTGAACATTACATTAAATAAAATTGCATTGGTATATCCAAACAATTTAAATTAAATGTATATTTTGTCTCATAATATAGGCACATCTAAAAAATATGAATTTATGAATATTTTTTGTATCGTTTTTATAGGATGGAGGTGTCTCAAGATTTTTCCTTGGCTTCTAAACATTCAGCCAGTGGGCTCCGAATGACAAGTACTGAGCTGACTGCTTACGCAGTAATTTCTTTTATTGTGGTGCTATGGTGTCACTACAAATGGAACCGCAGACACTTCGAAAAATTGGCATCCAAAATGACGGGACCGCCGGCATACCCTATTATTGGCGCAGGGCTTGAGTTTGTTGGTACACCTCAACGTAAGGCAAACGATTCCAAAAACAACGCTGAACGAAAAATAACTTTTTTGGCTCTTTTTTTTTTAGAGGTCATGGAGAGAATAATTAAACTGTACGACATCTATGGTTCTGAACCGTTCAAAGTGTGGATGGGTACATCTTTGGGCGTAACCATAAGCAAACCAGAAGACGTACAAGTAATTATTTTCAGAGTATAAAATTAACTAATACCAAATATGTTTTATTGCGATTGATCAGAGAGACAAACTGGTTTGATGAAAATGTAAATTAGTCTAGGGTGCGGGTGTCAGGAAATGAAAAACGTATGTGCTATATATTCTACAATAGTGACTCAATAAATAATTTCCACACTTGTGTCATAAAACTTGACGGAAATTGAACAGCTATAGTATTTAAAACCTGATTTGTTTCAGATAGTATTAAACAGTTCCAAGGCCTTGGAGAAAGACCAGTTCTACAAATTTTTCAAGAATACTGTAGGTGAAGGCTTGTTTTCTGCCCCAGGTCAGTGAAAACAAATATAATCCTTGATACTTTGCACGTCAGTTTTGTTTATGTTTTCCATAATTGATAGTTTATTGATAAATTGATCTTGAAAAAAAGTGATAATTAAATAAACTTGCTTTTGAATATTTTCACCAAGTGTGAAATTACAATTATTACAATATCGATAAAAATACAGTTAATAATTATTAATATAATACACATAATTATAATACAAGTGTGCATACATTAAAATTAATTATACTATATTTAGCGAATAACGATGTATTATTATGTAAAAGTGCTATATGTAGGGTAATGAGTTCTTATTTAACATAACATAATATAACTAATTTCATATTGTTTGGCCATTGACCTACAACAATGAACAACAGTGAATTTTTTAATTCGTTTATGTTATGTTATAGATTTTTGAACTGTGGAATAATTAATGTTTATTGATTATTTGAATATATTAATTATTTACAAATCGTTTAATTGCTGAGTCTTAAATATTATTCAATTTTTAATGAGCTGAACATTTATTAATTTATTTACGTTGCTTTTAATTTAATGAATTCATTTGATTGTTAAGAAGTTTATGTAGCTATATAATATGTAAAATAGATGTCAATCATCCAATTAGATGAAAACTCAGAAGTTCCTATGTCAATATTTACTTCGGAAAAAAAATATGTTAACAATTGAAAGTCAAATGTTATGAAAAAAAACAATAGTTATAAAAATTAGTCATTCATTTATTAAAATATATAATTGCATGAAAAGTATAATATTTTAATAGAAGTGTATCTATAGTTATATAGGCTAGATCTGAAGTAGGTAATTGATTAAAATGAGTACCTTCGATTAAAACTAAATCATTTATTTCACAATAATAGATTCTGAATATTCTAATACATACTAAATATTAAAACGTGTATACTGTATATCAATATATCATTATTAGTTACAATTTAATTTACATAACTCTGCATCTTAGTCAATTTTAAAAATATTTTTAGTTCATAAATGGCGAAGACATCGTCGTCTTATTACTCCAGTGTTTAACGCCAAGCTTCTTGATCAGTTTTTTCCTGTTTTCAATGAAAAAAACCGAATTCTCACAAGGAATCTAAGGAAGGAATTAGGTAAAACACAACCATTTGATCTTTGGGATTATATATCGGATACCACGCTTGATATCATTTGTCGTAAGTATTTCAGTACTTAAAATACTGAGTTATTCTTACAGATATTTACTATATTTACTTATAAATTTATAATACCTATTACATTACTTTTAGAAACCGCAATGGGGTACAACCTTGACACTCAATCAAATAACGAGTCTGAATTTGCTGAAGCGTTAACAAAGTAATACAATTATTGTATGCATAAAATACAAAGAATATATCCAAAATAAGAGATTTTTATTTATAGAGCATCAGAATTAGATTCTATGAGAATTTACAAACCATGGTTGCATCCTGATATAATATTTTCAATCTACGGAAAACTTACTGGGCTACACAACGTCTACAAAACGTTGCACAAACTTCCAAATCAGGTAAAATTTAATATAGATGATTAAATAAACGTTATGCTCGGGGTTACTTGACTACTGGACTTCTCGGGTCGACGATGTATTTTACATTTAAAAAATGTGTATGTTCATATTATGTATTATAAACATTAAATTCTAATGATTTAGTTGTAATGTATAAACGAAGTTATAAAATATTACTCGGGAGAGTTCACATGTACCTTTCAAGTAATACTTCACTAGACTCCCGAGAGAGCTTACATGTACCCGTCATATTGAAGTAGACTCGGGAGAGTCTACAATCACCCACCCATGCTTAGTATTAAAAGTTTTCAATGATTTTATTTTTATGATTTTAGGTGATCAAGGAAATGAAAGAAGCATATGCACAGAAGAAAATTGAAAATAAAGCTAAAGCAATAGATGTCAACGATGACGATAGTGAGTGATTCGGAACTATGATAAAATATTATATATTAATTATCTATAATATTGTAATATTATGTGCAGTTTTATTGTTTATTTTTATTATATTTCAGAAACTCGTTTAAAAGTGTTTTTGGACACTTTATTGGAACTAAATGAAGCTGGTGCAAACTTTTCTGATGAAGAACTAAGAGACGAAGTTGTGACTATGATGATTGGTGTAAGTAAATCTAAAAACAGCTAAGTTAGTCAACAATTTTTAAGTAATTTGTACAACTTAATATTACAGGGTAGTGAAACCAGTGCTATCACACTCTGCTTTTGCCTATTACTATTGGCTATCCATCAGGAAATTCAGGTGAGTGCCTGCTCGAAAATATAATGTTAAAAATACTGACACAAAACGATTTGTTATTTATTAAAGATTCTTTTAAACAGTGTTAATTGATAATAATCAAAAATAAAAATAATCAATTCAATTATTTAATTATTCAGTTAGGTGATCAGATAATATTAACAATGTATAATTGTATATTTGTATCATTAATTAAAGAAATGTGATATGTTTGTTTACTGTGAAGAATACATTAATGTGCATTTGCTCAATACACAAAAGTTTAAGACGCAAATCAATTCAAAATTTTGGAGTAATATTTCCCTATATTTTAGCATTATTTTGGGAGCATAGTATTATTCTGAGCCTATTAGCGTTATCTAGAAGACGCTAAGAGATTGGCTTATTTGTATTCCAAAAATATTTACTTGTACTTTCATTAGTGTACTTTTTAAAATAGTACCTGCATACTTTTATTAATTGTACTTTTGAGTTGAGATTATAATGATATTTTCATTTGGTTAATTAATATACATTTATTGGCACTAAACATTGTCCAATTTTTTTTCTATATAATTCAATGTATTTTTTCAGTTTTATAATTTTCCCAAAATTTTCTAGTGTGACTAAATTTTTTTTTATCAAATATATTTTCTTAATTTAAGCATTATTTTTCTTACAATAGTGTTTATTTTTAAACATGTTTTCAGAAATGCACCCAAACGTGTTTAAAATGTGTAGGTAAATTTTTGATAATGTGCCCAAACGTGTTATGCCAAATTGATGTATTTTGTGTACGAGCTTGACTTGGCCATATCCAAGTTAAAATAGACACACTACAACTGTACTCAATTTTATTCTTTAATATTTCAGGACAAGGTTTATGATGAGATTTATGAGGTATTAGGTGACGGTGACCAAACAATTACTATTGAAGACACTACCAAACTAGTTTACCTCGAACAATGTTTACGGGAAACTCTTCGATTATACCCTATAGGGCCGATGTTACTCAGACAACTCCAAGATGATGTCAAAATTTGTAAGTAAACATTAAAAGAGCTTTATTCTAAGAAATTATATTTTGTAATCAATTTAAATTTAGTTTCAGGTGATCACACGCTGCCAAAAGGAACAACATGCATTATATCTCCGATATGTACTCACCATATTCCTGAGTTGTATCCGAATCCATGGTCGTTCAATCCGGATAACTTCGACGCTGAAAATGTTTCAAAGCGCCATAAATTTAGTTTTATAGCTTTCAGTGGCGGTCCAAGGGGTTGCTTAGGTAAGTTATTAGCTAATATAACAAGAAAACATATGTGATAATCCATTAAATATTTGAAACTCATTTTTTTCTGAAAAAAATAAAGTTTTAAAAAATATTTAATTTACATAAATATCAAGTCATTAAAAAACATTTTCCAAAGAAAAAATAGATATTATTCTTTAAATATTTTACTCTTTTAGGCGATAACATTATTTTTGATTTCATTATCATAAACAGAATATTATTCGGAGTATTTTGATGGATCAAATTCAAATGTCGGACAAATGTTTTATTAATTATTATTTATGATAACTCATAAACTATTATTTCACACTGATCCATAATATATTTTATCCATCGAAGTACTCCAAAAATATTCCACTTTGATATAAGAATTTAAAAATGCAATTTGTCATTAAAAAGAGTAAGACGATTAATAAATAATAATTTTTTTAGAAATATGTTGCTTGTAACGACTTAAAATTATGTCAACAAATATTTTCAAAATCGTTAATAATTTTTTAAATAATGAATGTCTCACCTTAATATTACTCCAGTATCTAATACACTTGTATTTAAATTGTTTAAATGATAGGATCCAAATATGCTATGTTGTCAATGAAAGTGCTCGTATCTACATTTTTGCGAAACTACAGCGTACACACGGACGTCAAATTAAGTGATATTAAATTAAAACTAGATTTATTAATGAGAAGTGCTAATGGTTATCCTGTGACTATTCGGCCGAGAGATAGAAGACCTACATATAAACAGAATAAGAATTGTTCGACAGTGATCTAATTTGTGATAAATAATATTAATATATATTGTCAAAAAAAAAAAAAAAAGATTAAACAAATGAATTGTTTGTAAGTAAATGGTTTTATAAAAGTAAAGTGGTCTATCCAATTTTACAATTTATAGGTGTTGTTATATTCATGAATATTATTGACTTGTAATCTTATATATTTATGTCAAATTGTCGAATTGTCAAGTGTGAAAAATGTATTTTATTTATAATATTTACTATGAAAATCGTAAATAATTGTATACAATTGTCAATAGATGACTCTCGATAGTAGCAACTCTTATTTTGTGTTAATAAAACTATAAATAAAAGGCCTTATCAAAACAGGTGGGTGCTTCTATTCTCAATGATGTGTACTTTATGTAGCCCGTGTCCACCTTCAAATATTGTATTTTATTTTACTACACTTTTCAGTAGAAAAACACACCAGACCTATGTATTTATTTTACCTGTTCCTTGTAGTCTTATAAAATACCAAATAATTACTGTAACTAAATATTAATAAATTATAAATATATATATTATTCAAAACTATTAAAGTCTTCTACTTATCTCATGTGAAAATTATATTAAGTTAAGGCATATTTATATACCTATATGGCTATATGTTATAAATTTGTTGTAATAGAACAAAATTAAGATTCAACTGCAAATTTACTAAAACAGGTATTTACTAAAAAATTTTTTTTGAAAAAGTAGTCTAACAAATGATAAATTTGAAAAAAAAGTTTAACTGGCTTATTTATTATCCATCATAGGTATAAAACGTTAAAGTAACATTTATCTGTTAGCTCTAAGGTTTCCAAATATATGTTTTTAAGTTTCTACACTTTATATATAAGTTGTGTCGGTCCATCCGCCTTTTACCTAGAGGAATTCAATTAAACCCTTCTATGGTTAAGATATAACTATTTAATAAACTGCTTCCAGTCTCACTCATTAATCTGCAGACTTAGGATTTGTCTTATTTTTCAGTGTTTTTAGTTTTCACTAATATTGTACATACAAGGAAAATAATGAATTTTAATAAAAATAATAAATTATATTTTGAATTATGTTCCAAAATACGTTCTTAAATACCGTTACAACTTGCACATGGCGTTTAATGACTAGAGAATGAGTAGTATTATTGATAGTATTATTGAATTACTAATGTAATAAATAAATGAATTGGCTTTTACATTTTTCAAATCCAATCACTGAAAGTACGTATTAATTATCGTTGTCAGCCTTTTGGTCGATTTGATGAAACATTGATAGGGTTTGCACACATTTTGCAAGGGTCTTAAATTAAACTCTTAATCAATATAAATCTTCAATGACAGTTCAAGTGACTCACAAATTTAATACATTTTACTCCTAATATTTTATTTTATGCAATACAACTTTATTTAAACAAAATATGTTGCCTATACCGAAGGTCTTATTACATTCAACAGAATTGCAACAGGGACAATTTATTATAGCTATGCATGCAATTTAGGTAATTCGTATTATACAAATGTGTGATTTACAATAGGCATGATTATTTAATTGTTTGTAAAATCCTGTGGTTATGAGGGAGTTCATGAGCTTTGGACTTGATGCCGATGAGATGATATGATGGTTATTTATGGTAGGTAATTGTTGACAATTATTATTATCGTCAATTTAACTTGTAAATCCGAAATCATCTTGTACATTATAAATATTATGGTTGCAAGCAACTTCAATAATTTTGATTTTCGATTCTAAGGGGAGCGATGAATGTATTAATTTTACAATGATGTGTGTTTTCTTTTATTTTTTTTGTGTCTGTCCTCACGGTTTGGTGCAATAAAAGTGCCTCGATTTTCTTAAACAGCAACTTTTCTGGTAGGAAAGTGAATCTAGTTAGTTAGTTTGGATGGTAAAAATTTTAAACTCCCAATAGTTTTCAAAAGCAGCAGGATAAACAAACAAAAGTTAAGGAAAAACGGGAACCTTCACTCAAAACCAATTTCAAAAAATCGATTTTGGTTTTTAGTGTACCCCTAAAAAAAAATGACAATAGACACATAAAATTTTCACTGAATGGTTGTGTTAGCATTTTCCGTACACCGCGCAGTTTTCAAAATATTTTGACTCGTGTTGAACTATTTAAAGGCATAATATGATATTTTTGATTATTATTTGTTTTTTTTTAACTAATGTCGATAAAAAAATTTTCACTTTGTCAAATAAGTTGAAAATATAAACAAGGTTCTTCGTAAGTTTCTATTACTGGAAATTTAAAAAAAAGTTGAGCATATATCCACAAAAATTTTTTATGATCGTTTGAATTTAGAATTTTGATAAAAATTGTAAAAACCATGAAAATTAGCAAATTATTTTGAGTTAGAAATTCATAAGAATTTTTCTTTTTATTTGTTGAGTTAAACTACAGCTAAACGTAAACCGATAAATCCTGAATGAGTAATTATTATTAGATCGTTAACTCAAAAAAATTCACAACTTGTTATTGTAATATCGCTAAAATTTGTGGTGGTGTAATTATGTATAGTGCCAGTGATTCACCTAAATACGAGTTTCAACTTGAATCAAATGAGGCACGTCCGATGAGTTTCAGAACCCACTTGAACCAACTTGAATATTGTGTAAGTGTAAGCACTACAATATATTTTCGATTCACTTGTGAGATGCGACTAACTTATACATTAAACGAACGTGCTAAAACTAATAAGTACAACAACTCGAAACATTGTTCGCGGGAAATTAGACCCGTCAAATTTAAGAGCTATATTATATTATTTTATTTTAACTAGTTTTGACGATGAGTAATAATAGGTAAGTAATGACTTATTAACAATTTATTTGTTAACGCGTAGTGAAGTTGTTTAAATATTGAGGTGTATATTTGCAATAATCGTATTGACCTCGAATTTTTATATCATAGGTACCTATTCATACAATGTTATTGTAGTTATTTTATAATATCGATGGCATTTATTCCTATAGTTCTAATGAGTATACCAACATGTAGCGATTATCAATAGGTGTTCGTTGTATTATCTCATATTAAATATAATATTATAAAATATTATACATAATGATGGGCGAAATAAGGGAGGTTTACCTCTCACTGTAGCCTATACGCTCAAAATATTCAATATAAAAATAAATTTTATAAATTTTACTAAAAATGAAAATATAGTTATTTTATTGAAATCATACTTATTAGTATTGTTACTTATTATTAATTTATCTTTTACAATAACAGTACAATGAGTACCTCAAATTTACACTCGAAATCAGTTTTTAAGTAAGTAGTTCAATCTGGACTCAATGTTCAGTGTACACGACCATACTATTAATATTGGCGATTACTTCAGTTGTGATTCGTCGTTTGTCGCCCATTTGTAATTTTAATCTTCGGCTCGGTGTTTTTGAAGTACTTCAAATAAAATTGTAAATGTATGAGTGGGGCTTGTAAAATTGGTCTTTCGAGAGACGGCGGTTCTGGACTATTGATAAAGTCCTTCGCTCGTTAGAAGGTGGCTTGCCCAGAGGCGTGGTGGATGTCTGCTGTCATTTTCAATAAAATTATATGGCTATAATAATTATTAAAAATTCCATTGATATAAATGTAAACTGTATCTATTGCATAATATATTGCATAGTTATCTCAAATATTATTAACCGCCGCCGCAATTTGTTATGATGAAACCCTATATGTGATAAAAATTAATATCAACTGATTCATTCGTAAATTCGATCACTGCTGTTGTTTTTGAAATAGAAAAATACACTTTATTTGAGAGCTAAATTTAATGACCGTCAAATTTTAAACTGAAGTTGTAGTGCAATGGGTGAAATACCGTATAGGTTATATAATTTATTCTTACACTTCTATTAGTAGTGATTGAAGCACAAATCACAAACTGAATCTTTGTTTTATATCACTGTTTGTAGTAATGCGTTCCTTTATTTGTAATCGAACTTTGTAAGCGAAATTCAACCATAAATACTATCGATTAGAATATAATACCGATTCCTATAATCACTTCATTGCAACCTTTGCTGCAATGTTCTTCTAATTATAAGTGCACTTAAAACAATTCTTCATCATAATATTAACAAATGAGTTGAAAAAGTTCACTCGACGAGAGTGCGAAATTGTTAAGGGTTTCCAAACTTCTTATAATACAAATCAATAATCTACATAAATTCAAAATACGTACAATTTAAATAAAAATTTGGTAATCTTAATATTTTAGATAGTTGAATCTATATTAAATAATTTTACAAAAAAAAATGACTTAAAATCAACAATCGTAATTAAATATCTTAATTTCAAAAAATCCAACCGTGTAACGATACGAACAATAATGAATACATTAATATTTTAACATCAACAATCGTAACATTCGTAACTAAATTTGTAGGTACTGGTAAGTGGTAACTAATGGACGAACTGACACAACAGGGATGCACGGTTTTTTTAAGCTTGTGTTCAGAAACCGAAAACTTTGTTGGATTTACAATTATCCTGTTGCTGTATAGACGTATAGTTAAAAAAATATAGGTTAAACTAACAAATAAAATTGTTAAATATATAATAATACCAACCATACTTACATTGTATTATCAACAAATTTAACAGCATGATATTGACAAACAACCTATCGTCGTCGTTCTTCATATGCAATTTAAGATCAAAATGAATTGATTGAAAACAAATTGTACGATTATACACATGATTAAGATGAAAATAAATTTGTATTCGCCTTAATACATAATACACTCATACATTGTCTAATTTAAACAACTGAGTGAGGACACAAAAAGACAAAAAATGTATTTCAACGGATGTTGACGGAAGACATATTTTAATGTGTTTTGGTGAACGCAAACAGCTTAAATGAGGATTGACGACAAAAACTAAAACTATGCATAAATCCTTTTTTTGGGACTCTGTAGAATAGTGGTCTACGGTGGGCGAGAATCAAGTTTACATTATTCATACACATGACACATAGGTAGGTTATATGTTATAAATTTATAATCACGAAATATTTTCTTAAAATTATTTAGTTGTCGAATATGTTTTCGTAAAATATAAACGTAATAATGTATGAGAAAATAAAGTTTGTTACATTTAATTTCCGTTCGTACGGAATTATTAGTGTTATGTACAAATTAAAGATTTATTATTCAATTACAAATTACACGTATTTATAGGTGGTTATATTAGTTTTAATGATTACATTTCTTGTTTATTTTTCAGTAACTTCCCAACAATGTCAGTTATAATATTATATTATATTAGTTATATTGGTTTCAATATAATATTGCTCTTTAAATACATAATACTGTTGATTAATTTAAA